CAAGGTAGTGATAAAGGGAAACCATCCTAGTATGACAGCTATGTTCCAGGTATTCAAGAAAATCAGTTCAGACTGGTGTAGGTTAAAAGTCTCCAGAACAAACTTCAAGAAAGAGAATGCGACAGACTATTTCAGGGATCTGATCGCAACAGAATTTGGGGTTGAACTACACTTAAGAACATGGACAAACAAAGACTCCAGTTATTTACAAAATATTTTATGGGGGGGGGGAATCACACCTTACTATATGGCTCAGCTTTTTTTTTTCTTGGTACCGGGGATCGAACTTGGGACCTTGCACTTGCAAGGGAGGTGGCGGAACCACTGAGCTAAATCCCCGGCCCCTTGGCTCAGCTTTGGAGAGTATACATTATTATAATACTGTATACACTGGACACCAATCTAAGCAAATTCCATGTTATTTAGAGATAGAGTACTAAATATCAAAAGAATCAACTAAAACAGGCAAGAGATTGCCTCTGTGGACAAAACTTGGGCCATGTTGGAAAGAGAAGGCTAGGTACACGTTTTTTCTTAACTGTAGAACTAGTTGACTCTTTAAACTGTGTCTTTGCAAACCCTGGCAAATATTAATGTGAAGGAGTGACGCTATCAATGTTCTTGTGAGAGTGTGCAGCTCAGTGAAAAAGAAAGCTGAGCAGCTGTGGGGACTTTACGGTCTCTATGCAGAGACCATGGGCATCACCCTAGGGTTGAACATATATGTCCTAAGTCCATGGTCTGTCTCTTGTAAACATTGACTTGAAGAATCATTCACTTGCCAGATGTCAAGTTTAAAGTGTACTGGAGCCAAGTGTAGTGCTTATCTGTAACATCAGCATTCTGGAAGGCTGAGGCAAGAGGACCTCAAGTTCAAGCCCAGCCTGGGCAACTAGCAAGAATATGCCTCAAAATAACTATTTTTTAAAAAAGTATACTGAAAAAATGTTTCTGAGCAATTAACAGAAATAAGATGTAAAACACCATCAGAGTCATTTTAACTCATGTAGGGAAAAATTCACCCAGAAATTTGTTAAAGTTTTTTTTTAAATACGGGGAATAAACTGTTTCAGGAATTTAACTGTATGATATAAGTAAACTCAAGAAGGGTTCCCAGTGGGGACAAGCTTAACTTTACTCTGTATAATATTTATAAGTTGGAGTGCTTGCTTCGGCAGCACATACACTAAAATATTTATAAATTGGATTTACAAAGGGTTTTTTTGGGATAGGGTCTTGCTATGGCTATGTAGTTCAGGCTGGCCTTAAAACTCACCAGGTAGCCCAAGCTGTCCTCAAACTCATGGAAATCCTTCTGACTCAGCCTTCTGAGTGCTGGGATGACAGGCATGTGCCACTATGCCTGGCAAAGGTGCTTTTTTCAGATGGTGTCAGGATAAACCTAGATTCTCACATGTGCTCTACCACTGTACTACATCCCCAGACTCACAAAGGCTTTTATAGCCAACATCAGTACAACAAAAAAAATTTTCTAGGTTCATTTATCTAGTAGGTATATAACTCCGTCACTGAGGCATGATGCAGTTCACATTCTGAGAATGATATCTTTAGCCTTTAAAGTTGAATGAGCCATATGAGCCAATAAGTTTAATGAGCACCCCTGGCCCACGGCACTGAGGTTTGAACCCAGGGGCATCTATCACTGAAAACTATATTCCCAGTCCTTTTTATTTGGAGGCAAGGTCTTGCTAAATTGCCCAGGCTGGCCTTGGACTTATGATCCTCCTGTCTTGGACTTTCACCATACCTTGTTTAATGAGCAATTTAATGAAACGTTTCTTTTATCAGATTATAATTTGACAAATGATTTGTTCTACACATTGATATAACATTAGCCAAAACAGCAAAAACCTACAAGGCATTCAAAACTTCATTTTCTCAACTTCCAAACACTTTTTTTATTTCTGATTTTATGGTCTAATAAAAGTATTAGGGAAGTACTAATTTTCCTACATGAGCGCTTGACTCTAAATATTATGCAAATATGTTTAAATACTAAAAGATCTTTACCTGCTTTATCTGGATCTAGGTGGTCTAAGCTGGTTGGGGTTAAGTTTTGATTCTTCTTGTTCATCTGGGGACAAGGGCAGAATGGAAAGTGGACTCTAAAGTAACTCACCCATCATAAGCTAGCCATTAGTTTCAAGTTCCACCAGCAGATATTAAATACAGCTGCTCAAAGGGGAAAAAGGTATCTCTTTTCAAGTTTTGTTTAGCTATTGGGAAATGCCAATTAATCAGAAAGCTGCAATTACAACATTTCTGAAAGAAGTAAACCCATGGAGAAAATGAAGTATCAAGTAGCTAACTACAGACAGGAAAATTTTAAGTTTGTTTTTTATAAATGGATATGCAAATAGGAAAAATAAAATAGCATTTGTTTAGACATTCCTCATTTAATGACTGCATTATGTTTCTGTGACTAAGCTGTTAAATGAATTGGTCACTACATGAGGAACTACATATATAGTATGCACATTATAATGTTTAGAACAAAGAAATGGTTAAAGGAAACTCCAACTTGATGACTGCATAACCCCTACATGCAGGACTGTAATGTATAACAGACTATAAAACTACAGTACTGTACAATATAGGACAAGCAGCAAAAATTACAGTACTGCATAAGTAAGGCATATTGTACCAAAAAAAGATACTGAAATTCTATAAATAAGACATATAGAACCGTAAAGATGGGTCATAAGTCCAAACAGTCATTAACAGGTTGTTAAATGAGGAATATCTGTACTTTCCTTAAAAAAATAGAAAATTTGCCCTAGTTTCTGTGACCCAAATTCCCTTTCCTATTGCTGAAGTAAAGCATTCTTGTATGCAAGTTGACTGTCCTCAAATATTAGGCTTGAGGCTCTGTGGGTCAATGGGAGGGAGGTTAGATTTCAAGAAAAGAGAACAGATGCAGATTTGGGTTAGTTACTTCAGGATCTCGAGCTGGAAAAGTCCCTTAACACCTTACTCTCATAGTAACAGCCAACTTCATCTGCATTGTAACCCTTGTTTTATTCTTCTTGTCTAAGCCAACTTATATTGTGATTCACTTGTCTACTCTCTAAATCATTACTCAAAAAGCTGCAGTCAACTACTGTGACAATAAGGTAATGAGCCAGGGTGCACTGGTATTTAAACTACTCAGAACATTTAGTTTTAACTCCAAGTAATTTTATTTTTGCTGTCTCACCATCGGGACCATATCTCACAGTGGTATTTCTAGAAGATTGAGCAAGTGAGTCCTACCTGTTTTGACTGGAAAGTGGAAGGTTGATATTTGTCATCATTTTTAAATGTATTTGGTAGTCTCATTCAATTTGTGTTATCATCTCAATTTCTAGGTAGACGTGGGATCATAGATCATAGACGTGGGATCATGTGCTGACAGGGGGATTTAAATATTCCTCTCTGGTGTGTCTTTTAACTGTCCTTCATAATGTAGGTTTCCATTTTTGTTGTCATTAAATTATGAGCTTATTTTTAGTGGAGATTTTCTTTTCAGCTAGGAGTTTCAGATTTTAGTTGCTAAAGGTCTGCTTTCCATTTGTTTCTGCCAGGAACCCTAGGTTTCACCGGCCCTGAACCAACTGTACCTGATTTACTGGTTTGGCGATTACTGCACTTACATAGCTCATATATGCTTGGATTATAGGACTATATAATCATGTATGGCACACAGGAAGCTTTCTTACAAGAGGCCACTCAGAAATTCTGCTCAGAGAGGAATGTTCCTATCACTTTCTTGGGATATCAGAAACATTTTTCCGGTCCCCATCTCAGGTTGGACCAAGGCTCTCTCTTGCGTCCTTTGAGCATTAAAACCACAACGTCTAGGGTCTACAGCTGTATCAATAATCCTCCAGGGCACTATAGTTTTGGCTTATGATTACCACTCTGCCTTCATGTTGCTTCAATACCAGAAGATTTATAGTTTTCAAAGAGAATTTAAGACAGATGGAAATTGGATGAAACTCTAAGCTAATACCTAAGCATTAAAAAAAAAAAAAATCAACACTTTCAAAATCAACAGCCTCTTGAAGATCTGCTAAAGCCATTCTTAGTTCCTTTAATATGCTGTTTCACTTATCATAGATGTGCTGACAGGGGCATTTAAATCCAAATAACCCAGTGATTCAGTGTTCAAACTAACCTCCATATAAAATTCCTCTGAAATTTATTCTTATGTAAATTACATTTAAACCCTGCTATAAAAGTCTTAAAGAAAAAAAGCTTGTAAATAACTTAAGAAAAAAGTTTCTAAATGTTTAATGAGTAAAAAGAGTAACTCGATGTTAATGAATGACTTTCGTTTTCCTTAAAAACAAAATTCATTTCCACAAAGTTATTTCAAACCATAGTTCATGACCAACTCTAACATAACAAAGAGAGAGGGTGCTATCTATGGTTTGTCCCCTAAAGGTTTATGTGATGGCGGTGAGGTGGGTAAATGGCTTAATGAGAGGTGGTTATTATTGGGGGTACTGCCTTTGGAGGACATTAAATTCTTGTGGGACCCTGTATAGCTCTTGTGACAGTAAGTTGTTATCAAAAGAGCAAGATCAGCCCTTCCCTGAACTCTGACTTCCTGTCTTATTAAGAGCTTTCCATGTCACACATGCTCCTGCCATGATGCTGTCTGCCATGTGAACAAGCCGCAGGGGCCCTCACCAGAACCAAGCAAAGGTCCGTATCAAGCTCTTGAACGACTAAAATCTGTGAGCAAAACAAGCCTCTTTTCTCTATGAAGAACCCAGCCTCAGGTATTTTGACTGGTTTTTTTTGGGGGGGTACTGGGGATCAAACTCAGGATCTTGCGCTTGCAAGGCAGGCACGATGCTGCTGAGCTAAATCCCAGGCTCAAGTATTTTACTATAGTAATGGAAAATAAACTACTATTGAAGGGTTCCTTTCCATATAAATATAATATAGATATGATATTGATTAATACTACCCAAGTAAAGTAAGGCTCTGACCTGCAAGTTATTCAGAGGTTCCATCTTCATGACTGGGCCCAAGGTGTTGAGAGGCAGGGAGACATCGATGCTTTGGTTTGGCATCAGTGGTGTATGGATGGCCAGAGGAGTGCTTGGGATGACGCCAAAGCTTGGAAAGAGAATGAAGAAATCACAGAGATTAAGAGGTGAGATTTAGCCACATCTTGAGTTTCAGTTGACTTTTACTCTATTTCAAGGAAACATTTTTCAATACAACTAAATGGAAGGAATGGCAAGAAATAAGATACTCAATTTCAACTTGCCATAATGCTGGTTATATCATTCCATTAAATGGGTTTGAGGAAGGATAAAATATTCATAACTGCTTTGCTAATGCTATGATTTTGAAAGTTTCTGTGATTTACCAAGTCACTAAAGAGACACAGGTTTGATGAGCACTTTTAAAATAAATTCATCATGTCAAGATATGGTGAAGCACTCCTGTAATCCCAGCACTCTGGGAGCCTGAGGCAGGAGGACTGCAAGTTTGAACCAAGTCTAAACAACTTAGCGAGACCATGTCTCAAAATAAAAAAATTTAGGGCCAGGGATTTAGCTCAGTGGTTTCATCGCCTGTTGGGCAAGCTCAAGGACCCAAGTTTGATCCCCAGTACCAAATAAATAAATAAATAAATAATAAAAAAAATAAAAAGGTGGGGAATGTAGCTCAATGCAAAGGCCCTGGGTTCAATCCCCAGTAACACACACACACACACACCCCACACACAAATCCTTCCTTTGATAATCCTTGGGAAATAAGATTCAAAAATTTTTTTCTACGCTGTAAAGTACAATAAATGGACATTATTTAGCTTGACAACCTGTCTGATCAGTCCAGAAGATTGTTTAGTTGTAACTCCCATTTTCTTTCTTTTTTGTTCACTTACACAGCACACAATCACTGGAAAGAGCTAGTCTACATAGAGCACAACTGACAAGTTTAATTTTCTAAATAAGCAGGACAAGTTGTAGGTGTAAATATAGCCACTTTCCAAACCTAAGGAAGGCAGCAAGTATGCATTATTTCAACTTCCCAGAGTGCCAGTTTAATAATAATGCAAGAATGGTAAAGAGATTGGAAATGTGGCCTGAGTCTGATGTTATATAAAAACCAAAAACATGTTGGAGGGCAGACAGTCTGAAAAACATAAAAACTTTACAGATGGAGCAGAAAGGGAGAAGTGGAGCTAGATATAATATAAAATTTATACTAAATTTATATTTTAAATAGGATCAGTTTGTTTTATATAAAGATAATAATGTTTATAAAATAACTAAAGAGTACATAAATAGTATCTCTTTCAATTGTAAGAATGAATAAAGAAATAATTCCCTTTTCTTAGATAAACTATACCTTACCGTATACCAGAATATAATAAGTGATTCTGAGACTCACAAGTTGGAGCCAGTCTGGGAAACTTAGCAAGACCCTGTCTCAAAAAAAGAGTTGGAGAAGCTGCAAAGTGCAAACGCCCTGAGTTCAGTCTCTAGTACCAGAAAATAATGATGAAGATGATGGTGATGATATTTTTTAAAAGCCTAGACAGAAAAATAGTACATGTAAAATATAGACAAACAAGAGCCAATAAATACATAACGGGAAAGATAAAAGAACAAAATCAGAATAATGAAGAGAAATGTTTAAACATATAAATACTGAAAACTTTTTTTTCTTTGGTACTGCGGATTGAACTCGGGACCTTGTGCTTGTGAGGCAGGCGCTGGAACCACTGAGCTAAATCCTGGGCCTGAAAACTTTAAGTAAAAGACTTGAATGTATGAAATGAAATGGTACATCTTACTTCAGGCAAAACTGACCGAGAAAATTTTTAGACTTTAAAACTTTGGGCAGCTTAATATAAAAATCAAGTCATTTATATGAGGGGAAAAAAATCAAGCTGGAAATAAGACTTCCACAGAAACTTTCAAAGACAAAATACCTTGGAGCAAAACACTTTGTAAGAGTTCAAGTCAAGGATTTTTAAGTATGTGGGCTGGGGATGTAGCTCAGTGGTATACAGTGCTTGCTTAATATATGTGAGACTGGGTTTGATTCCTGAAAAACTAAAAAAGGAGGAATTTTCAAATATAAAGGTCACAGTTTTGACAATGTGAGAAAATTTAAGGAATACTGTATATTCACATGAACTCTTTCTGAGGAACCTACTAGGAGACATTCAAGAGATGACAAGAGAAACTTAAATAAAAGGATTGGCAGTAAGCACAAATCCAAGACGAAGATACAGGTCAAAGAATGTATACAACCCCCCCCCCCCCATGACGAATGTAAGCACTATGTACTGCAAACATGTACTAAGAAAAAAATATGGAAAAAAGAATGAAATGAATAAATGATATAATTTACAGAAATGAGAGAAAAAAGGGAAAACAGACTAGATGCTAAGCCTCATTTGTCTTATCTCCCTCATCTGGGAGAGTCAATGATGACAAAGTAAGTAGAAGTTTAAGCATACTTAAAGAGTACCATCAAAGCCAAGAAAGAGTATTACTGAGTTTAGGTCACAAGGGAGGATGCAGAAGACAGAAGGAAACAGACTTTAGAAAGCAAGGACTAAGGTTATGTAATCTAAAGGAATAAGTATAACAGAACAAAAACATAAATCTTTCTAAGTATAAGAATTACTTTTTAAAAAGGCAAGATAAATGGAGATCTATAGGTGAGGCAGATTTCCTTTACTGTAATACATTCCCCAACAGCCTTGTTCTTTAACAAAGGCAATTTCTGAAAGAGAATGGAAATAAAAATGGTCTTAACAGAAGGAAATCCAGACCTTCAAGATACATAAATGATTTCTAATGTGCCAAACTCTCAAATCCAGGGTACAAAGTGTTTCCAAGTGATCAGAAATAGACAGTCACTGACGCAAACTGTCTTTGACAAATTTTATTAAATGTTTTAATGGTATAATTATTACTCTGTTATAACAATGTTGAATATTTTGTATTTACAAATGAGTGAGTTCATCATTGAAGTCTAGTAGGCAGTTTCCTGAACCATACAACTTAACAAAAACTGATGTTTTATAAATATAAGAAATCAACATTTTACTTGTTCATGTTCTCTTACTTTTAAGGCAAAGAAGTGACTATTCAGAGTCTATAGGTGATTATTTGGTTAACACGTATACTGGCTATCTTCTACATTTTTGACATTGAGCAAAGTACATTAATTTTTCTCTACCAAAATATGCACTTCAGACAGCTTTGTTTGGTTCACTACTATACCCCTACTTTCTACAATCCAGTACACAGATGCTGAACAAGTATTTTTTAAAGTAAATGGATTACAATTAAAAGTGTTTAATTATTTTATTAAAAACATTCTAGTCCTAGAATTCTTTAAAAAGACAATAGATTCTGGTTCCTTCAATCCATATGGATAAATATTCCTCCAAAATTTACTATGCCCTCCAGAGGTGAAGGTCACAACTGAATGGACTTGCGAGAGCTACAGTTTACTCTGCATTCAGTGTCTGCCAAGATGTTAGTTTTTACCCATTGTTAAATGAAATATTCACTTATTGGACACATGGTACATTCTTGTATCAATATCAAGCTAAGGGCTCACATGTCTTACCTATTCTTGTTAAACTGGATTGCAAAGTCTGTCATATGTTGCAGGGCTTTGTTGGTGAAGTTCATTTCCATATAGATGTGCCCTTGGCGGTGAGTAAATGTTCCTGAAATCTCCAAGCCTTTAGCCTTTACTGCAGGTAGCCAGACCTGAAACATAGCATAGAGCTCAAAGGAACCAGACAAGATTTATCTTGACGCTATTTCTTTATTTTAACAAATAAAGATGAGAGTAAGGTTTTGCTTCCTCAGGCAATTGTGATTTTATATTATAAATATTAAGTCAGTTTGAAAGACTTCGGATCAAGTAGTATTTTCTGAATTGTAACATCATTCTCAATTATTTAAGAACCAAAACCAAACCAAAATTAAAAAAAACAACAACAGTCTATGGGTAACCCTAGTCTTTTCTCCATCTTTTGTTTAACTTGGTCATTTTAATGCTTTTGAATACACTTACCAAATATATATACAAGTAAAAAAGAAATTCTGATGAGTTTAATGTGTTTTTCTGTTAGTTTTGATAAAAGTTTTAAAAGGAAGAAATGGAATCTACTAATGAAAACAGCATGGCTATAATCTTTGAAGACGGTTAGCATTATTAGCAACCTTTTTAAGGATATATCTTACATATATTTCTAACTTTTGCTATCATTATGGTAATAGTAAATACTCAGGTGTTGCTTAAATAATCTCATCCCTGGCCACAGAACCTGTAATATTCCTGGCTTACACCAGTAAAAAACTTTAAAAGTTAAAAAACAATCAGGAAATATATGAGTTGTTCTGATCACACAGGACAGAAAACCAAGGAGTTTGTCAGTGGTAAATAATCAGGTTGAACACTCAAGCCACACAAAAAAGGAGAAGGAGGAGAGGAGGAGGAAGCAGAGGAGGAGGAGGAAGAGGAGGAGAAAAAAAAGAGGAAATACTCAGAAGATACTATTTTTCATTTATCATTTGGTCAAAAAATTCTTAAAAATCAGCCATGGGTGGTGCAATGACTATTACATGTTCAAGGCCAGTCTGAGCTACATAGTGAGATTCTGTTTGAAAAAGTAAAATAAGACAAAGCTCAGCACTTCCTGGGTTCAATCCTCAATACCACCCAAAACAAAAACAAAAACAAATCAGTCACATCCAATGGAGAACAGAAGGAACTTGGTGCTCTCATTTTGTTGTTAGGAAAGTAATTTTATGCCATCTCTTTGGAGCATAAGTTGGTAATGTCTATTTAAAATGTTAAATGATCAAGCAAATTTCAAGTTTCCCTTGTAGATATATATATATATTTTTTGGTACCAGGGATCAAACTCAGGTCCTTGTGCTTGCGCAGCAGGAAGCGAAACCACTGAGCTAAATCCCGGGCCCCCTTGTAGATATATTTACAAAAATATGTCAGAACATACACAGAGCAACACTATAACAACAACCAAGAAGAATGAGTACAATGGCTATGTCTGACATAGCCCCTACAAAGAACGTGGGGCCAGGCACAGTAATCCCAGAACTCTAGGAGGCTGAGAAGGGAGGATCACAAGTTCAAGGTCAACCGGGGCAAATTAGTAAGGCCTCATTTCAAAATAAAAAAAGGGGATTGGGGATGTAGCTCAGTGTGAAGGTCCTGGGCTCAATCCCCATTCCGGGGGGACAAAACAAAACAGAAAAAGAATGTGGTAGTGAAAGAACAATGTACAAAGCAGTATATTGTGAAGTAAATAATTTACAGAGCAAAATAAAAGATAAGTAATGGGAAACAGGGAGACAGATCTTTTGCAAATGAGAAGGGGCAAAAGATGGAGGAATGAGGAAGGGAAGGGAGGAGAAAGAAAAAGAAATTAAGCTGTGTTATATATATGTACTAACTCCCCAAATACATGTAATTATAATACCGCAAACATGTACTAATGTTTAAAACTGAAAAAAAATCTACTGACACAGTATTTTTTTTCCTGACATAGTATTTTTAAAGGATACAAATATTTGAGTATATGCATTATCTTTATCTTTTTCTTTTGAAAGGACACATGACAAAGTTAACAGTGGCTATGTATGGGGAAATGGGAGCAAGAGGAAACTATCTTTTGTCTTATATTTGTATATCATTTAAGTAAGTTATTTGTAGGTAAAGGAGTACATTAGATAATTTTTTAATTAATAAAGTCTGTGTGGCTAATTTCCAACACAGTAGATATTACAACAAAGCTATAGTACTAAATAGTGCCAGAATACTATGGCTCTGTTTTGAGCCATCTTTTTAGAATCTAGTGGGGTTTTTTTTGGTACCGGGGATCAAACTCGGGACCTTGTGCTTTCGAGGCAGGCGCCAGAACCACTGAGCTAAATCCCCGGCTGAGCCATCTTTTTGATTATTCTATGCAATGCCTATATACACATAGTTATAAATCCTGGAATGGACAATTGGCCTATATGTCTTTAGCAGAGATTCTCCATAAGGAATCAGATGAGCAGGCAGTAAAATCAGGAAGCAAAGAGGCACACTAGTTCTTACAAAGGCAAGATTATACAAAGTCTACCCTGACCTGGCTAGTATCTTTCCCAAGAGCTTAAAAGAGCTTCATTTATCAGTAGGTTCCTGTTCTGAATTTTAATCTGACGGACATCCAGCAAGGTTGAGACTGGAAGAGCCCCAATGACACAAATCTAAACCAGTACTCTACATGGGTATATGAAAACCCATAAAAATCAAATCTGAGCAATAGCACTCTAGAATCAGTATGTAATACAAATGAACAAAGGAGGATGGAACAAAAAAAATGTTACTTCTCTATACTGTATTTTTTCACCTGTTGATGCACTGTATAACAGACTTTCACTAGACTCACTTCAGTGCTGATAAACTATAAACATGTTTAACAAAGATGCTAATGGTGCTTCCCATTAGACTGAAGCTGTATTTTATCTTCTTTGTTAATTCCTTAGAACCAAGGCAAAATCTTGGATTTATTAGTTCTGGAAGTAACATAAATGTAGAAATAATTTGGGTTTTGTCAATTAAGAAAGTATTGCTATGCTAACTTTACTTACAGCCTTAGGAGCCACGTAACCACCAGGTGCCATCCCTATCCCTGTGGAGAGTTCAAATAGGTCATTCAGACCACTGCTGACTACGGCAGGAGTTGGTGAGGGAGCAAAGGTTGCAGGCACTGATGATGGGATGAAGGACTGTCCAACCTGCAGGGAAAAAAAAAAAGGGAGAGAGAAGATCAGGAAGAACAACAGATTAGTAGCCTTTAAAATGCTGCTATTTATTTTAACAGTACTGATAAACCAGTAAGAAAACACAATTACAATATTCCTAGGAGCCAAGCTGGTATATCTTTGTATTTTTAATCACAGTTTTTTTTTTCATCACTGACAAGATACACATATACCCTTCAGAAGCTTTATCAAGACACAGTATTCAGTAGACACAGGAATACGGTAAGCCAAGATTTTGTCTGTCTGTTTCCAATTTTAGCTTCCATGATTCTGTGCAAAAGGCCTACAGGTACACTAAAAAAGGGGGCGTTTGTCTCTACAGAAAGAATGAGAAGCATCCAACTTAAACAGCATTTCCAATTTCACTTGGTACAGCCAAGTCTTACTTTCCCATTTAGGCATAAATACCTAGTGGGAAGCTCTCCTGAGGGAGATGATATTCACACTCCCAAACTCACTCATCTGTGAGGAGAGGCTCAATGAGTCCAGCTGACTCTCTCAAGTTCTCTCTGGATGACACCAGGGAATAAGAACATTCTCTAGTCAAGATGGGAGGTTCTATTTCCTTTAGCTCTTTAATGTCAGAAACATAAAGATCTCTTCAGGCACCAGAGCAGCAAACCCTAATGATGTCCCTAGACCACATGTGGTACATGATCCCAAAGATTCTAAGTAACCCTACTCTACTTTCTACCTCTCATACACTGCTAGAGATTTTGGTGTATGATATATACTGCTATAGAGATCTGGGTGTATAGCAGCAGTGGTTTGACAGTGTGTGCAAAGGAAAGGCATCAAACAGGGGGCGGCGCTTCCCATGGTGAAAAAAATGGATGGCACTTACTGCCGGACTTCCTCCAATGCCCCCGCCAAGGTCACTGCCAAGCTGAAAGAGAGAAAGCAGAGAGAGAAGAGAGAGGTAGAGTTCATTTAGCTAAGTACTAGATGCCCATACAGAATCTGTAAATTGCTCTACCAAGTTGCTGGAAATACATGCCATTCAATGTGTTTCCCAAAGCCTAAGGAAATTCTAGATTGCAAAGAAATATGCCCTAGGGGAACCAAGTGGTGATAGTGAGGGGGTGTGGGAGTTTTGAGAAAACTTGGAAAGAAGATGGAGCTGGGACATCTCAAGGATGTTTCAGATCCAATCTTTACAGCAGGACACATGAACACAACCCAAACAAGATTTAAAGAATTTGCATATTCCAAGAAGCTCTACTTCCAAGCATCAATGTTTTGAATATTTTTTTCTTTAAAAAGAAATTTAAGGGGGAAATAAAAGAAAAGAAGGCTAAAACATGCTTTGATCTACAAAATCTACTGTCTGAATGAATGAGATGGTGAGAACCAAATCAGCTTTGAACTGTAATTTCAAGCTTTGAGAATTACAGGTGGAATAAAAGTGATTTTAGAGTTTAGACTATTCCTAAAAGAAAATAGTTGGGACAATAATCTATCCTATCTGGGGAGGAAGGTGGAGGCTTCAAATCTGCAATGCTTCAAATCTCCCTGACAGTCAATACAACTAAGGAGAAAATGCTATGATTTATTTGGAGTAGTTCATTTAAAATGCGGTTGAACATTAGAGAACTAGACTAACTGAATTAGGAGCTGACAGGAAAATACTTTCACATGATATTAGTCTTGCCTGTTTTTCTCAGGGCTCTGATATATAACTGACCCGGAAGTCAGTCTTCTGTGACAAAAACATTAAAGAACTGAAGCTAAAAACAGCTGGTAGTCAAGCAAAGTAAAATACAATGGAACCTGTATATACAACCAGTAGCAGTGTTTAGAAACAAAACCTCCCTTTTGCTACCGTTTCACATTTGCTTCCTCTCTAGTTGTTTATCTACAATGCCTGTTTCAATCATCAAATGCTTGTCTACTTTAAAAATAGACTAAAAGACTAAAAACTTTTTGTTCATTGTCTCTTATTTAGTGGTAGAAATTTGATGATCACTGTGTTGTGATTGTGTTAAAAAACAATTGTAATGCATTTTCAGGATTTGGGATTTATCTTCTTTATGATCTGATAGTATATAAAATGGTGCTGCCAAAATCTAAAATTCAATCTATATTAAAAAATAGTGAGGTCTATGACCAAACTATTTCCTCTGTGATAGAAAAGAACCCCAGCAGGTGCTTAACAAAAAGTACTCTCTGCACTAAGCCACAGAGTATTCCAAATCACAGAGCTGACATTTCCAGAAACTGGTTCCTGAAGATTAGTAAATGGTCAGACATGGGATGATAAACATAAAGCTAATGACAAATAAAGAGGTCATCTCAACCAAGAATTTGAACAACTGAAAAAAGCATGAAAGTAAACAGAAAAAATATTATATATCTGCTTTCTCCCTGGTTCTAGAATAACACACATCTGGAGCATGACATTCCTTTTATTCTAACACTTACATAGTATTTGCAACATGCAAGGAATGCAAAGATGTCAGACAGTCATTATACAGACAAATAAGAACCAGTTTGCAAACTGGCAGGAGAAATACAACAGAGGTACAAAACCATACAGAATATACTAAAGCAAAAAAGGGAAGCTCTGAAAGGAAGAGCCTACTTTTGGTGAGTGTAATGAAGAGAAGTTCCAAAGAGGTGAAAGCAAAAATGGAGGAGGCACTTTTCTCAAATAGCATGATTTTTCATTCCTAAAAAATCAAGAATAAAAGCATGACTGGGAATATGAGCAGACCAATTAGAATGGAGCACAGGGTAAATACGTTTTAAAATGTAAATTACGTTTGGCATGGCATCACATGCCTGTAATCCCAGCATTTGGGAGGTTGAGGCAGGAGGATCACCTCAGGTTTGAGGCCAGCCTGGGCTACATAGTAAGATCCTAACTCAAAAAACAAAATAAACAACCATAAATTGTACAGAATAAGATTCCAAAGGCAGTCTAATTTTAGAAGGTTTTCCCCTTTATAAAAACAGAGGTTTCTCAAAGTAAGATTTAAACTTTCAAATATTAGTAATAACTATGTTCCAGGAACTATGACTTTCAACCTTGGATACACAATGGAATTAATCACCTGCTTGTGTTAGTGTATGTTTGAAGGTGTTTTTTAAAAAAATGGTACTGGGGAGGCTGAAGCACGAGGTTTGCTTGAGCCCACCAACCAGTTTGAAACAAACCTGGGCAACTTGGCAAAACCTTGTCTCTCTTCAATCAATCAATTAATGTTACTGCCTGAGTCTTATTCCCAGAGAGTGATTTAACTGTTGTGAGGTTTAGCCTGGGTGTTAAGAGTTTTGAAAAGCTCTTGTAGTTGATCCTAGTGTACAGCCAAGGTTTAAAACACTGCCTTAGAGGATTAATGATTTTAGAATCAGACAAGATGAGTTTAAAACTTATTTCTGAATACAAAGGAGATCAGACTTTAGAGAGAGAGAGAGAGAGAAAAAAAAAAGGGCCGGGGAATTAGCTCAGTGGTTTCATCACCTGGTGCGCAAGTGCAAGGACCCAAGCTTGATCCCTGGTACACACACACACAAAAAAGCTTTCTAAGGAAGGCAAAGGCTAAATAAAAAAAAAACATGGAAGGGATTCTACAAAAGGTCTGATTTGATGACTTTCTGATAAGCTTTCTCTCTCTAACTACGCCCTCTTCTGGCCAGACTTAACAACTCAAGCTTGAAAGAGAATTCTTTATGGTCCTGGGTTGGCATTCAATGGCAAGAAAAAAACCCCACACCATTAAGGAAATAGTTTTACCAAACATGCTAAATTCAGTAAAAACAAACAAACAAAAACCAAAAAAAAACCACCATTGAGGATAAGGTCTCACTGATGAGATTTAGACCAAAGGAAATAAAGCACACTTACAGTTCTTATTTTCTCAGATTTCATTCTTATCTTTGAATATTATATGGGTATTATCTTTGCTAGAAAAGACCTGAATGTAGTCTTCCCCATGCTGCTGATCAATTTTATTCAAAACCATAGAAGAAGCTGAAAAAATAATCCTGATATTCTTTTGTTTATGTTCAGTATTATAGAGACAACTAGCTAGAATCAAGAACTCTGATTTGATACAGACAGGACCCCAAGGGTACCAGAGACACATAGCCAGCATCATAAAAGGTTCACCTAATTGTATTATGTTCAGAAAGTAAAGGGAGGTAACAATATCACACATTTTCTAACTAGCAAGTCTATATAGCTTACTTAGACTTTGTTCTGCAGCTTTCTTCTTGAATGCGAAAGATTCCAAGGAAAGTTATCCTCCTCGGAGAATATTGCAAGGTGATAAAACAATGATGGAGAGTAGAGGACAGTGACTAATACAGAGATGGCAACAAGGGTGGAAATGATTCATCCAGTAAGTGACCTCACCTAACTACTACTGTGACAAGCAGATGGAAGCGGATAATCAAAGAAAAAAGAAAACTATTGGTCCACACTAGACATTAACCATTTCAGTTCAGTGGCTGATATTATGTGCAGTCAGGTTCATCTACCTGGAAATACTCTGAGCCTGCACTTACCAGGGGCTCACACAAATCAATCAAATTAGGACTTGTGAGATTCAGAGTGATATCCATTATCTAGTTAGCTGGTGGGAGCCAGGAGTGAAAAGGAAAGGTGTTCACAACATGGCTTTAATCCCAATCTAGGTGTCTAGATATAGTTAAGTCCTTGACTTATGAACATTAGAGTTGCCAAATTTCACAGGTATACTGTGTAAGACTCACTTTTGTCACTTTTACAAACAAATCTAATTTATGAACGTTCTCCCAGAATGGAACTCATTTGTAAGTCAGGGATTTATTGTACTGTGTTTTGAGTGTCCCTTGGAGTTGTTCACAGGCCATTGTTCCCAAGATTGCCTTTCTGAAGCTGCCATTTTCTCCATGAAAAAAAAAAAAAATGTCAGGCCAGGGATTTAGCTCAGTGGTTTCACCGCCTGCTGGGCAGGCGCAAGGACCCAAGTTCGATCCCCGGTACTAAAAAAAAAAAAGAAAAAAAAATAATGTCAACTACAGGCTAACTGAATCAGGATATAGGAAGAAGGGAGAGGTGCCAATTTCAGGAAGACAATATCTGAAATGCTGAAAGCTGAGCAGACTTTTCCTAAAAGTCTCTAGTTGATAACCAAGTCCAAGTTTCCCACTAGTTGTGCAGTTCTAAACCATGGTAGTTGTAGTTATTAAATAACACTGTCAATGAGCGGTCACTTTACCATGCTTGAAGTATTGTTAAGTGAGCCTCAGTTCATATTGAATTATACAATAATGTGCCACTGCACTATTAATTCAGTAACTAGAAGGCAAGTAGTAATTTCTGGTCACTTACTGTAACTCACAGGCTAAAGAGATTTCAGCATGGTTTCATGAGCTATGCAACAGAGTCAGGTACAGAGTCAAAAGTTTCAGAGGTGAGCCCACATACAGAAGTTCCAGCTCCGCTACAGATACCAACAGGAAATATCAACTTCAATAGCAATAATGCTATGATAGCAGAAATACAGAGAAAGAGCTCAAGACTGATGTTCTGTAAAGGAACAAAATTGCCTGACTCCAAGAAGAAAAAAAAAGTCCTTTAAAAAGGATACAAACTGGGATGGCCACTAAGGAGTTTTAATCAGGTTAGTCCTTTTGAGGTATATCTGACAAGTTCAAAGTATACCTATCTGCTTCTAAAACTGTGTAGCTGTCTGTGTATCTCAAGACATTGTCTTAGTAACAGCTGTAAATATTAAGGTCTGATATGTCTATGCTCCTAACACTCTCATCTATTTTATGTGATACTTTCCAGAACTGAAAGGAATTGTAGGAACCTACCAGTATAACTTACCAACAGCTCTGTGATCGAGGAGTCAATAGAATGGTGTAAAAATAGGATACAATGACTTTCATCACAAT